ACCTGGAAGAACTGGCCCTACAGACCTCGTTGCTTCCCGATGTTAACCCATCATACAGTGCCTCCTTTCTAACAACCTCATTACTCCTACCCACTCTCCCTGCAACGCTCCGATCTTACCAGTAGAAAAACCAAATGGTGCTTATCGCTTGGTCCAGGACCTGCGCCTCATTAACAAAGCTGCTATCTCCATACACGCAGTAGCTCCCGACCCCTGTACTCTTCTGTCCACTATATCTTTTTTCCACCATCCCCTTAACCCAGCTTGTCAACATTCCTTTGCAGCCCCTTTACCTGCAGTCCCTCCTAAAACAAATCTAAAGCAGACACAGCCCAACTCCCTTAACTTCTCTCTCCCTCCAAGACACACTTATCTCATTCTGCTGCTATCTGTTTAAGCCTGTGTCCCACCCCCACCATTCAGAGTTTAACTCTTAAGTCAAAGCTGCCTTTAACAAACTCTGACACACCCTCCTTCACCCCCGCCCCTGCCAAACCTTTTTACTCTACACAGGCAAGAAACAAGGTATAGCAGTCAGAGTCCTGGCTCAGCCCCTGGGGCCCGCTCTATCCCCTACAGCTTGTTGGTCTAAGCATCTAGATATGACAGTCAGAGATTGGCAACCCTGCCTCCGGTCCCTGGCGCCAGTCACTGCCCTCACTAAAAGAGCCCTAAAGTTAACCATGGGAAAGCCTGTCTCCACAGGCTGCAAGACCTCCTCTCACACCGAGCCGCTTGCAGAAAATCTGTCACATGTTTATTGAAAACCCTAACATACCTCTGCTCCAGGCTCCCTCTTTAAACCCAGCAACCCTCTTGCCTCAGCTCCTAGACTCGCTGGAACTTAGTGGTCACTCCTGCCCCCAGGCAGTTGAGGAACTAACACTGCCCCACCCAGACTTTCTGATCAACCTCATCCTAACCCATATATAACTTTGGGGCAATGGCAGGCTGCATATACTGTCCTCTCACTTGACCAAGTCTGGAAAGCTGCATGCCTCCCAAGAAAAACTACTTTTAAAAAAAGTGAAACTTGTTGCTCTCACTTGAGCTCCCCATCTAGCTAAAGGAAAAAAACGGCTAATATATATTCTGATTCTAATGATGCGTTCCTTAGAGTTTACTGTCATGCCACTATGTGGAAGGAACGGGGATTTTCTGACTACCAAAGGGTCCCCCCATAGTAAACAGTAAATTAGTAAATCTCTTACAGGCTTTTCAGCTGCCAGCAAAAGTAGCCATCATCCATTGCAAAAAACATCACATCCTTAGCATGAGTCACCCTACAAAATCGCCAAGTTCTTGACTTATTAACAGCAGATAAAAGAGGAACATGCAAGTTTCTAAATAAGGGATGTTGTTATATTAATGGATCGGGTCTCACTCACTGTCTCACTCACTCACTGACTCACTCAGTCTCTCTCACTCAGACTCACTCACTCTCACTGCCTCACTCACTCGGAAAAAAA